TGAAACCGAGATGGAAGTCATATGTAGGGTTCAGCATTGTAACATTGTAAGGTTGAGAGCTTATTACTATGCCAGTGATGAGAAGTTGCTGATTTCTGATTTCATCTACAATGGAAGCATGTACAGTGCACTACATGGTAAGAATTACTTTTCTATACTTGTCGATGATTTTGTTTATTTTCTATTGTTGTTTGCTCCATAGAGTAGAGACACTAGTTGCAAATTAGACTTCGTTTTTGAAATAATAGGGAAATGTGTTATGACCATTTTACCCCTATTTTATTTTGTCAAAATTATTAAAATTTTAATTTTTGAGGTCAACTGATGATTTTTTGGGTCAAACTGACGGAAACCGTCAATCTGGACTTGGGTTGCGATGTTTTTGAAGGTTTGGTACCTACGGTGGTACAAATCAAAGGTTTAAGCAAAGTCTGCAAAAAAAGTGAAAGGTTTGGCACCGCGGTTGCAATTTCCCTTAATCTTAACTACACATTTTATAGGATCCACAACTTTTTAACCACACATTTCATGAACTTTTATCAAAATCTATTAAAAATCTAATTTTAATCTCTATCAAACAGGGACTTAATATATATGTAATAAAGTAGCTAATCCCAAACTTAGATATCAAATCATTTAGTTATTTCATTTAATATTTAATTCGTGTATAATTTTAATTTTGTCTACGTATTTATGTAGCCAATTTCAAACTCAGAAAAAGAGGATATTTTCACAACCTTAAATTTAAATTTATTTTATTAAACGCATTAACAAATTTTTTTTTTTCAAGTTTAACATTTATAAATTTTTTACTATATTTCGAATAGTAAAAAAATATTCTTTTCAAAAATTATATATTCATGAGTCGATGGGGGAGAGTTGAGCCCTAATATTTTCAATTTCAGGTGAGTAGGTCGAGTCCATTGACATTCTTATAAGAACACTGGTGAGAAGCACGTGCATGATGTAGTTGACTATATAATAGCTTAGGTATAAAAAAAATATTTATGTTAAACAT